AGCATTCTTTATTTTACGTTTCTTAGTTTCTAAATAATGATTTTTATTGAAACTTGAAATTTTTTGATAAAAATTGTTGTCAAAAAACGTTGTTTACAAAATTAAATTTCATAAAATTATGAGGCTTATGTATACTTTTTGTTCATTTTAATTTTTGAAGTAATATGATTCTTAAAACTATGGAATGTAAAGTTTAAATAGGCCTTTCATATTATATCATTAAATTTAGTAAAACTATTTCATACCTGCCAACTTTTAATCCCTTCCATTATGATTTTTTCCAGTGGTATTAAAATTTAAATTTTAACTCAGAAAATACGTTGTATTTGAAAAAGCTTAAGCTGACAACCATGGTAGCAACACATATCAATATATATGCTTAATTTTTTTAAGTATAGTGGTGATCGAAATCATTTAAAAATTAAGTTTATAAATGAAAAAAAAGTATATATTTACTACCACTTTAAGTATAAAAATAAAATTTTACGCCAAATGCGTAAAAGTTGGCAGGTATGCTATTTCTCGGGCATTAGGTTTTAACTCTTATAAGAATATTCATATTTTTTTCTGTTTATGTGCAAATATTTTTCCGACGTGTTTTGGATGTTCCTTCTCTAAAAATAAGAGATACCATTTTGTTTTCGTTTGCATAAAAAAGGATATTAAACATTTTTCTTTTTTAAATTTAATTAGCCACGATAAAGAAAGAACGTTGCAATGCTACACGCTACATTAAAGACGTATCTAGAGTAAATGAATGACTGTTCATATAGAAATCGCAGGTATTAGTCTCATACAACAACGCCCCCTATAGTTCGTTGCGATCGCGAATTGCGTTTTTGTGCTTGATTTAACTTAAAATATCGTCTGCATAAATTAATTTGCTAATTTGGAGTAAGTCCCTCGTACCATTAAGATAAAATCCTAAAACGTAAAAATCAATTATTAGATCATAAGTCATTCGAGTTATCAGTTTTTATTGTTTTCATTTCTTTTTTTTCTCCGTATTATATGTCTAGCATTTAAGTAGTAAAAAGAAAAAAGCAAGGAACAAGGAAGGAAGTGAACGTGTTGAAATAATATCGTACTTTACTTTAAGTGCTGCGAAAAAATGTATTTTATGTTTTTGTCTTTATTAACACTCAAAACAAAACAAAAAATATTCAAACATTTCAATAAACTAAAATTAAAATAAAGCAAATAACAAAACAATTCAAATGAATTTCTAAAACTAAATTAAAGAAAACGATAAACTCAAACTAGTGTTAAGGTGAAAACTTTTTTAAGCTCGCCTTTAAAAATCAAACATCACTGATGAAATTAATTTATTTCAAAATTTTAGGATGATATTTAAGTAAACGTTTATATGGTAAGATTTTTTTTTCCAATTGGATACTTGCAAGTGACGCATTTGCATGGTAGGTAAATAGTGTCATTTGTCGACTCAGAAACCTACCGATTAGGTTCGTCGCACATGCGTCACGTCACTTAAGCCAAATTAATCTAACTATTCATTTTAATCTAATTTAAATCACATGGTTAGGCATAATTACTTCACTTCTTTTCGAGTTGCAAGTACCCAAATTTTTGAACTGAATTAAAAATTGAAATGGTAGAAAAAAAATTCGATGTGCGCTTTTTTTTTATTACCGAAAATAGATTTCAGTGATTTAATTTTAAATTAATCTATTTCGTGAGAATAAATACATTTTATTAGAAAAATATTCCCTATTTAAAAGCATTATCCGCTTGTATTTTTTAATATACTGTCAGTTGATTTTTTAGCAAACGATATTACATTATTCACAAATATTTCTTGAAAATTTTTGTTGTTTATTCTTTGAATCTTTTGTAAAGTATGAAAAATATATTTCCTAATTTTCCACTTATGTACATAAAAGATAAAACAAATAAAAAGTATAAAACGTACACGATTTAAAAAATATATATGAGCTAGTTTGCAAAAAAAGAAGGAAAAAAACATAAACAAATATATATATATATATTTCTAAGCAAAAGCCTCTTGGAATTGATTATTAAAAAGAAAAATTCGGTATGTTGATTCTATATTTGTGTATTTTGTTACATGTGTGATCTATTTTAATGAAATTATAGGTATTCAACATAATTTTGAAATCTATGCAGATAAAAAGATTAGCTCTGAACATAGTAATATAATAAAATAATCCTGACTGGCAGACCCTAACTACTGAAATTAGAAACATCAGATATGGACATTTTTTCCACCATCCACTCAGAAAATATTTCTTCTTTTTTTTGATATTCCATCTCTTAGGGGAGAAATAGGGGTTGAAATGTTGTAATCTATAATAATAAAATGAAGACTTTGAGTGCGTGTCCGTTTGTGGCCATCTCTTATAATTCTAGAACCGTTGACGATATCGTCCTGTAAATTTTACAGTAGTTTAAAGGGGTAATTTTAGCCTTCGATTCTAAAATTCATTTAAAAATTTCTATTACGTCGTTCAGGAGAGACATTTGAAAAATGGAATTTTCTGATTGATTTAGCGACAATGGTTATCATTGTTTTAAATTAAACTATAGACAATTCTATTCTTTTTTTTTTCAAATGTATTTCAAAAATCGTTTTTTGTTAGCTTATATAGTTATTATTATTTAAAAAAAGAGTTTATAGCATGGTCTTTAATTATTAATTAGTTGCTATGTCAGAAAAACTAAATGATCACTATGAACGTAGTAGCATGCATGAACTACGTCACCAAATTAGTATTCCTAAAGTATTTATTTCGTTTACAGTTTGCCTTTAAAATGTGCTTCAATAAAACTAAACAATTTAAAATCTGCGGTAATTGAAATAAAAAAAAAGTTATGTACTGAAAAGAAAAATAAATTGAGAAATGTTTAAGAGAAAAACATAAAAAATCGCCCAAAAGTAATATACGCCAATTAAATTTAATTAATTTGGACGTTCAACGAATACTTTGGTTCTAAACGAATTTTTTTTTAAAAAATCAGCTATTTATGCACTAAAAAGCGAAATAATTGAGACATAGTAGCGCGTTTAGGAGACATAAAAAATCGTCCCAATATTATTGATGTCAATGTTGCTTAATTAATTTTGATAATTGACACAACTTTGTTTAATTGGTACAGTTTTAATAGATAGCAAATATGCAAAGGTTGTGGAAACTAACATGGGAACAAAGTTATTCAATACGTTTGTCTTAAATATAATTATTTTTGTAAATAAATGTATTTCAAAAAAAAAAAAAAAAAAAAAAAAAAAAAAAAAAAAAAAGCCATAAAATACAACATGGTGTATCTTAAACCATTCGATGTTATTCCTTCAGTAACATTCATTTCAAGTTATTTTCTTCTAAAAAGTGTTAGCATTAAAACTAAACATGCAATTAAACCTGATTTTTCAAGCAGCCTGCACACGCAAAAATAAATCAAGTTAATCCTAAATGCAATACCAAAGAATACAAGGTTTGCTTTTTAAGAAAATTTTCAAGAAACAAATTTATTTTCAGATTCTACACACGTTTTTCGTTTTTTATAAGTGTAGTTGCCAAGTTTGTTTAAACAACTAGATTCAGAATACCCTCTTCATACAAACTTGCCTCTTGCTCAGTTACATAGGTCACGGGTTGTTTTCACGTATTCGTCATCATTGAAGTGATTGCAGTCAAAATGATGTTTGAAATATCGGAAAAGATAAAAATTACTCAGCGCAAGGTCTGCGTTGTAGGGAGGAGAGTTCCAAAACTTCTCAACCAAAATAAACCAGGAATCTGAGCTGCGGAGAGGTATTATCATAGAGTAGCAAAATTTCCTGTCAGCGTGGCAGAGAATTTTGCTACTTCAAAAATTTACAATTTCACAAATCTGACAGTGAATGTATGCAGCAGCCAGGTTTTTTGCCAACTAAAAACGCCTTACTGACCATATCTCGTTTGTGGAGAGTGATTTTTACATTTGAACATTTTAAAAACAAAGAACTGACTGTACAGTTTATCTACACAGCTGCTCCCAGGGAATGCCGGAACACGTCACAAGTACTCGCTGAGACGCACATGTCACCTATGAGGGATATACGTACTATATGAGGGTAGTCATCAGGAGACTGAGTCTCCTTAAATAATTAAAATAAAGTATAAACACTATGGTATTGAATAAAAATAGGGCGAAATGGGCCAGCGGAAGCATCTGAATGGATTCTGAAACTTGATCAACAATGGCAAGTAGAAGGCTTGGCCTTCCAGTTAATTTTAACAGGTAGTTATGCAAACATTTTACACACTATAAAAAATTCTTCCTGTAGTTTGAAATACCTTATTAATATGCAGAGTATATAACATGGCATAGAAAAAAATTGACAAGAGGATAAAAGAAGAAAAAAAAATTTTCTTTCAAAATGCTTGCCATTTGTAAGGACACACTGAAATGAAGTCTCTTTTGAAATTTTAAAATTCCTATTCATATACAAAGGCATATTTCTATCAGTTGCATTTTGACAATGATGTTAATACTATATGATAGATATTTAACATCAAAAAGAAGTTGAAATGGAAGTCGAAATTTTTTATAATTTTGTTGTAATTCTTTTGATCATGATTATTTTTTCATAGTTGCATCTTTTATATTCTTTTGTTTTAGGTAAGAATGAATGGTAATATTTCCACATCGAATAAAGAACATGTTGATCTTACGAATTCTAATAATAATGTAAGTCTTATAAGTCATTCTAAACATAAATTGTTTCTAAGCTTAAAGGATGAAGCTTGCAGCATATACACACCATTTGTTTAGTCTGTTACCTTGACCTCACGGCCTCCAGCTCTGCACTACCGGAGTAAGCAATGTCATTTACCATCTGAGCCACTTTTTTCACCACATGTACAATGCGGAAGAAAAACGATACACCCTGAATCACTTTTAATCTAATAATCAGATTTCCACATACTAAAACCCAATCTTAATGGGTTGAGGGTCTAAATTAAAATATGCTCATTAATTAGTGAGCCAATCCTGAGCCTCATTACCAATCCCGAGCTTCAAAATATGGAGGCAACTGTAATCTCTGATACAAAAAAGGAGACACAAATATAACTTGGACTTAATGTAGGGATCGTAAGGCCACAATGAGAAATATTGTTTTAACAGTCAAAGTGCATTTTTTGGGGGAGGGGATGAGTATAGTTATTTTTTATACATTAAGTATAGCAACAGGCTATTTCTAATTTATAAGACTTTTGACCTTTCTAAGCATGCAGAGTTTTGTATGTCATAAAATTATTTTCAAGGAATAAAATAATAAAAAATTGTTACATAAAAAAATACGTTAAATAAGTTTGATTATTCATTAAAAAAATAATTTAGATTATTCATTCAAGTTTGTTAAATTTTAAAAAGACAAACTTATTTGCAACAAAAGTCAATGTTGATTCGTCTAACTTTTGTATAATATATGAGCTTAAAGTAGGTTTACAGTTATTATATTTTAAAAAGTCAACTTGAAATAACTAAATTTAAAATAAATAAAAGAAATTTTAAATATTAAATAAAAAAAACAACTTAACATTGCTTTGCATTATAGGCACATAATGTACAGGAAAACCTGGAAGAATTTGATTATTCAAAAATATCAGATGAAATTGATGCAATAGCAGATTATCTCGAGCAATTATCAGAAGAAGTGACAAAAATGCAAGGTAATTTTATTATGAATTTTATATATTCCTATGCCTCACTTGAAATCTTAATTAAAAATTTTACCTTCTACAACACTATCTAATTCATTCATAAATTAAAAAAAAAAAATTAGAATTGAACTACATAATAATCAAACATACATACAAAGCAAACAAACATAATAATCGAAAAGCTAAGAACAAATGTCTATGATCTAGATACAGTGCTCATAATAAAGAACATTATGTACTGACTGAAAGAAATCATAAGGAGAAAAAACTTTAAGGGAATAAAAAAAGTTTTGCATAAAATAATAAAATTTGTTAAATCCAGAGATGCAAAAATAATTTTTACTTAATTTTAAACTATGTAATTTTTAATAACAAAAGGCAAAATTTGAAATAAATCTGATTATTAGTTTTTATGTATTGAAAATATAAAAATACAGTTTTTTGAAAATTTCGTAACTTGACAGATTCCTTTAAAAAAACACAATTTTAAATAATATATATTTGTCAAAAAATATACAAAAAATAAAATAGATAAATTATTAAATAAAATAATAAATAATTGTTTCTTTCTTTCTGCTTTCTACAAATATCTCATACATTGAGTAAGTAATTTTCATGAAAACTTTGTAAAAATTGTAACAAATCTTAGTAACAGTAGGATTTTCTTTAAAAATTTTACAAATAAACTAACTCAAAAATACATTTTGATACAAAATGTTTTTATTTATTGCTTTCTATTAATTTTACAGTAAAATTCAATAAAATAACAAGAATAGGGTAGCAGCAATATGATACAACAATGTAATGTTTGTGTGATAAATTTAATAGGATTCAGAATTATTTTGCTCATAGATGAATTTTAATATGCATTTCATTTTTAAGAATAGCTGATTAAAACCATATATTTAATCTTTAGACACTTAGATAGCTTAACATTGTTTTTGTTACATTTTGCAAGACAAAATTTCCTTTCATTCTTTCAAAACAAAAACAATAAATAAACAATTTAATCGCAATAATTTTTTTCACTGTTATTTGAAAAATATAATTCATACATCCCTATCAAAATATAACAAAAACTAAAATTTTATTCGACCATAAAATAAAGTTTCAAATTAACTCATTATATGACGAATTAGTTCAATGTTTTTTTCTGTTATCATGCAATAACTCATATGGTGCAAAGAAAAACTTTCAAATTTAAATTAATAATCAATGAGATATTTAAAAAAAAAAATTAGAAAAAAATTTAAGACACTTTGAAAAACGAAATAGACTTATTTTTTCTCCTTTGCTTTTAAAGTGGAGAGTGCTGTAGCAAATATTGAGTTAGTCAGCATGATTGAAAATATGGACTTTGAAAGCAAACTGGAAGAAGTTAAAAAAATGTATGAAGATTATGTGAAAGAGAAAGGAACTGAATTGCAAAAATAAATAAATTCTGTTTTTGACTGAAAATGTTGATTTATTTTTATGTTTAGTAATTTTATCTATTAAAACTTTTTGTTTTAGCAGATCCACTTACTGCATTATACACACACATATATATAACAGCAGATACTTGAGTCAAATAAAAGAAACGAAATTTATTGAAAGGTTTCTCCTTTTTAATACGCATTAAATACATTTAAAATAAAAAAAATTATTAAATTTATTTCTCAATATTAAGAATTAGTTAATAATCAAAAACTTATTTCTGTTTATCATAGTAAATTACTAAAAGTGTTCTAAAATTTGTAGAGAGAGAGAAAAAAAAACAATAAGTACAATTTGCTTTAAAAATAAAACGTTATAATAGTTTAATAACCTATTTTCTAATACATTGAAATGTTTCGGTTGGAACAATATGAGTATCAGTAAAACACTTTAAGATTTTATTCAATGAGAACTATTAACTATTATTTTAATTTCTTATTATTATTTTAATTTCTACAGTAAAATTATTTCGACTATTTATTAGATTTTTACATTAGGTAATTAAAATTCTCAAAAAAGTTTCTAAAAAAATTTATTACAAAAAATCATGTCATGAAATCTATTAGCTATTTAATTATGTAAATACTTTCACTTTAGACTTAAAAAAAATGAGTATAAATGAATTTTTAATAGAATAAATTTTTTTGTATGCATGAGGTATAAGATTGAAAATGCTTATAAACCAGTTGATGGCATATATATACATGATTATAAACAAAATAAAGTTAAAATTGGATCTTTTCGTACTGAAAATCAACTGTTGGTAAATGATCCCAAAGAAGTTGTGGGTTTCTCAACAATGATACATCAACCTGAATAATAGTAAAATAACTTAAAATTAACAACATTTCATCCAAATTTTGGATAAATATAATAAGTGAAATAATTATATTATTAAAACAAATTATGATTCAATGTTGCTTCTTTTTTCTAAAAGGTTTTGTTTTCATTAGCTTTGAGTATTATAGCTTGGCTTTGCAATCACTATTCTTTATAATCAAGTTAAGATGCTAGAAGTATGACTGATAATGCACAAATTATTGAAGTGAGACATGAAAATGGTTTATATATAATGTTTTTTAAAATGCTCATTCATTCAGCTATTTAAAGATTAAAAGTGAAATTTAATATTTTTAGTTTGCATAGTTTAAAAAAAAAAAATTAGTCCACAAATTTCTTCATCAAAAAATGTTTCACTTATAATTGTTAATTTATTAGAAACTACAAATAAATTCTTTGTTTCCTATCAATAACAGTACTGAATAGGATGCTGTTCTCTGAATACTGTTTGGACAAAAGGGTTAAGCATTTGTAGCTTCCTCTGCAACTAATAGATGCATTATTCATCGCGGTATTGATTGCTGATCGAAGTTCCTGCTTATATGAACAAAAAATGGGTAGTTAAAATATTTACATAGGTGATTCTCAAAAAAATATGGCAAATCTAATTTAAAATCTTTAGAATAGCTTCATTTTTTTTAAAAAAATTATCCAATTACCAACTCTAATTAAAATTTTATGAATAACTAACAGCATAGTTTGCAGACATTTATAAAAGAAAATATTTAAAATAGATATCTGCTAAATTTCTTAATGCCAGGAAAATGATAAAGCTGAATTAGCCTACCCACTATACTTTTAAACTAAAATAGTTAAGCACAAGCTGCGTACATGTAGTTAATAGAGAAATGAAAAAAAGTGGCTATGAAATTCACATGCAAATTATTGACGAAACCAATTTTTACAAAATATTTCAGAAATTATGTCTTGGCACACTCTAGACATGCTTTTATCAGTTTAGATGTAAAAAATTAGAGAAAACTTGTATAGAAAGTTTTAAAGCAAATAATTATTGCAAATATCGTTTGTGACATGCCAGAAAAATGACAAGCTGAAACTTAATATACATTTTTAAAAATATATAATTGTTAAAACAGGTGTGAAATCATTCAAAAAAGTTAATAATAATAGCATAAATTAAAGATTTAATAATGCTTCATCATTTTATAGTATAGCATTAGATTTCTGTGGCAAAGATTATAAATCGTTGTACATAGTAAAAATCTATCATATAGATATATTTGCACAATATTACAGAATAAAGAGGCTGGTAAGTAATTTAACAAGATTGGTCCAATAATGAAAATCAATCTTTATATGTTTAAATGGTACATAGTCAATTCGAAATTGCGTATAAAGAACATGAATGGACTATAATATTTGTTTGTTAAAACAGAAAGCTCATAAAACAACTTGGTGAAAAAAATCATATAAGTTCGTGCATGTTTATGAAATTATTAATATAGTACTAATTTTCAGTAGCCACTTTTTGTAAACTTTTTTGCCGTTTCTTTGTTGGATTAAAATTATATTTTTTTAAAAAAAATTCATATTAGAAATAATCTACAGCTATTAAAAGTTAATTCCACAATAAAAATAAGATAAATATGTGACAAAATTTTGGCAAACTTACTGACTTTAAATAACTTTTAATTAGGGAAACAGAGCAATTTAATGTAAACATTACAACTTTGAAATATGTGAATTGTTAAAGAACTCTTCTTCCACATTAATCTTTCCATCAAAAATTGATAGATTTTGAAGAACCAAAGTTTGAATGAATTTTGAATGAAGTTATTAGACATTTTAATGAAAATTCTGGTTTCCAGAGTCTTTTGGTTTTAATGTACTTTTATCATTAAACAATTAAGAAAAGAAAAACATAGGGAAAAATGACTGATTGCTTGTTTCATTTAAGTTGACACTTCCTTTTGTTGAATCACCACGTGGCGAGTTGCTCGATGTTATTTTCAGGTCTAGTAGAACTTACTTTATACATTTATTTCTGTATAGTTAAAAAAGAAGTAAGTTTATTAGCGTTTAACTGCCATTTGAATCGTTGTTGTGTTATTGTTTTTGGGTAAGACTCATGGCCCAAAAAACATTGTCATTTGCTCTACTACGTTTGGAAAAAGTTTTAAGTATTTCAGCATGATCGAAAGCAATGGAGTATATTAGTGTGGTTGTGCTTGAAATTCATCACATCTAACATTATTATCATCATTGCTTTCATTATATCTTTTATCTGCTCTAACTTTAATTTTAGCTACAATATCCTAGGGAGCAGAGTTGGGCGTTGATTACAGAAATCGATTACAGGTAATTACGATTGCAAGAAATCATAATGTCTGATTACTCCAGAGTAGGGCAAAAATGTAATCGATTACATTTTTCGATTACCTTAATCAATTAATTGTAATCATGATTACAAACATTTATAATTTTGATTACATCTGCAACTATGATTAAGCAACCAATTACTGTAATCAATTACCTGTAACTATGATTACTAATTATCAAAATATATGATTACATGTAATCATAATTACATAAAATCATGATTACAATTAATCTAAAGATACCATTACAAGACAAATGTATACCAATACAGTGAAACCTCGGTTAAGCGAACACTCTTGGAACCGAAAAAAAAATGTCTGTTTATAGGAAGGGTACCCTAATAATGAAGTTTAACACCGTAAATTGTTATTTCATGATTTTCTTAAATATAGAAATAATTTACTGATCTACAATAACTATCCACAAAAATATTTATTTCAACTTGAAAAAAATATTTTTTTTAATATAAAAATATGAGAAAAAGTTTGATATATATACATAATTCTAGATGCAGCTATTAGTTCTCTGTTGTTTTAAATTATAAGGCTTACTCCCCTAGCCCCTACTGATCACTTGATAAGAAACATGGTTAATACAGCTTTGAAAGTAAACCTCCCATGATTTCCAGAAAAAAAGGATGCAATGCATACCTGTAAGGCACGGGAACCTATGGAGTTGATATTATTCTAAATCGATCATCTATCAAGTATCTGAATAAATGTTTCATTTATATATAAACATATCAGAGACTATATTTCTGTTCTCTCTTTTTTTTAAACTCAGCTGTGTTAAAAGATAAGAGTTAATTAATAAGAAAATGAAAAAAAAATTAAGTGGGGAAGAAGCATTGAGAGCATTTAAGAAGTCATTTCCATTTTGTGGGGTCTCATAACCTGTATCCTTCAGATGAAAAGATCAAAAGATGCAGCTGTCCAAGTTATTTCAAATGAGCAGTATCATTTTCTCTCTTTTCTTTGCGAAGATAAAGCAAGGAGGCAGGAGAAAGATTGATTTTTTAGTAGTGAAATAGCGTAACAATATTTTTAGTTATGGATAAGGCAAATAAATTTACATGCTTTAAAAATGGTTTGAAGAGTTTTTTTCATTTTTATTTAGGAATTTGAAGCAGAAATAGTTTTTTTCCCCCTTCAAACTTAGAAAAAATGGTGTTCAGTTTGAAGAAATAAAAAATACAACTTCATGGCAAAAATGGCTGTCTGCATCTGGTTACGGGAGTGTTTGCTTCGGAAAGAATGTACATAATGGTTTATTCATAGAAGATTCAAGGGGGGGGGGGAATTATACCCGCATCAAGAAGTGTCCGTTTTGTAGGAGTGTCTATAACATAAGGTTTCACTGTATATGATTATATTTTACACTACAAATAGTATAATGTATCATATAATGACACATTTTGTGTGCAATTACATACACTGTACATATACAAATGAATGGAATTAAAATGCATGTCATATGTATTTGTCTAATACATATGTAGGTAAATGCATATGTAAAGACATTTTAGTTTGTGGATACATACACTGGTACATAAAATCACCAATTGTAAATACATACGTGTGTACATTCTATGTACCTAAAAATATGTATCGACATATCTACCTACATAATGCATTTACACATAATATGCAATCGTAATCAATTTTAATCACATATTTTGATTTAATGTAATCACAATTACATGCTATCATATATTTTGATTACTTGTAATCATACTAACCCGTAATCGTTTTTGTTGTAATTGCGTGGAATTGCAATTACTTGGAATCACAATTACATTTGTGATCAAAATTATGGTGAATTGTAATCATGATTAAAAGAAATTGATTACTGTAATCAATATTTGTAATTATAAAAAGTTGTAATCACAATTAAAAAGTGATGGATTTCTATAAATTACTATTGTAATCACGATTAAAGTTGTACCCACAATTACAGCTATAATCATAATTATGTTATCTTGTAATAATGATTAGAAGTAATTGATCACCGCAATTGAAAAAAGCAATTCATTGCATCTTGGCCCAACTCTGCTGGGGAGTCAGATCTGGATCTCAAAATTAAAAATATGAGCATCAACAGAACTTTGCACTGATTTTCAAACTTTTGAAGTCATCAATTTTTTCTTCTTCTTCCTTGACCCACAAAAAATTGCTTACTAAAACCAGTATTTGTTTGTTAAAAATGAGCTATGCTCCAACAGACTTAATTAAAATATGTCATCGTATCAACCAAGCATTTATTTCTTATTTAATCCAGGGTTCTCGTTAATTCAGAGCTTATTATAAGTAAGTTCTACTGTATATCAATAATAATTATAATACATAATTTTGCTTAACATGTAAAGTAGTTTGAGAAAAATTAAGAAAAAAAATCTCTAAATGAAAAAAAGCAAAATTTCCTTCTGTGTTTACATTATTCTACTTGTTACAAATCATTGTTTTTACTCCGCCTTGTTCGCTTATTAATGATGTCATATATACCTATTTTTATGTTTCAATAGGTTATAAATCTTTTTTTTTTAAATTAAACATTTAAAAGATTTAGATACTTCATGTATTTTAGAAAGATACATAATCTTCATTCAAATTTAATTAATCATTTTTTTATTTAAATAAGTGAAGTTTTTTCATTTCAACCAATATAGAGATAACTTTTAATGAGCTAACTTTACATATTTTTTAAGAAACAAAAATCAAAAAATTCAAATATTTATTCATTATATGCCATGTCTCTATATAAACTACTTTATCTCAAGCATACTTCACCTCGAGTTTTATTTATTTATTTAAAAAGAAAAAAGCAATTTTATTGAAGCTTTTATAAATTTAATAATTTAAATTTTGGTAATAAAATTGGTCTAATGAACTCAACAGGGTATATTTTTTTATAAATGGTTACATAAGAATGAATTATACAAAAACTAATGAAGACAAATATAATTATGATAAATATAAGAACTATAGGGATAATATAAAAAAAGTGAGTCAACAACATAAAAGATTTCACAAATGTTTTAGTAAATCATGAATCTTACATATGCAATTTATAAAAAAATATATAGCATGTACACTTATTAAATCAATTATGATAAAACTAAAATATTTACAGAATACTTTATAAATCTGTTCAAAGCATTAGCAATGTAAATAAACAAACGAATACATTTCATTAATAAATAATTAAGATACAGAAAAATTATCATAATATGTTTAAACATCTTTACCTTTAACTCTTTTACTTTGCTTTCTTTTGTGACATGTTCTTGTAAGATGTAACTTTTTCCAACCTGTAAAAACATTTTTTAGTGAAAAAAAATAAGCAAATAAAAATACTAAAATATTAATATATCATTTTATACAGTTAATTATTAGTTTCTAAAAAGGAAAAAATGACCAAAACAAATAAAATAATAAATAAACAATAAATGTTAAAAAATATAAGGGCCAAAAAAAAAGCATAATTTTAAGTCATTATTAAAACTTACTTTTTAATCATTTTACTTCCAAGTGTGTTAAAAAAATTATGATCTGTCAAGTAGATGCTTAATCTATGGAAATGGAAGCTTATGACTTCATAAGAGCAGATAATGGAGGTTAAGGATCTTCTTGAAAATATAGTTTCTAGTAGTTAAGGTAGGTAAACAGTTTAAAGTTTTGTTACCTAAATGTTGGTTTAATTTTTTTACATAATTTGCCATCTCAAAGATGTTATATTCTTAAATATTTATTTCTCAAGAACTAATCTATCGATTCCTTTCAAAATTTGAATTCTGGCATTTAAAAATGAAGTGGATTGAATTGGTGTGAAATTTGTGTATCTTACAATACAAAATTTTCTGGCCATTAGTAAATTAAATAATAAATAATTATAAAAATTAAATTATTTATACAGCATTATCTTTTAATAAAAGAGTGTTATAAACCTATACAAAAATGTTTTAATTTTCTTTCAAAGATATAACAAAAAATGATAGCTTAAACTTTCAGGCCTGAATTACTGGGACCATACTTTTTAAATTGCAGCTATACTCTATGTTTAGAGGCTCAAAAATCCAATTGCATAAAAAATAAGGTAGAAAATATATTTGTCATCTTTGATTTCAGGAGGATAGAAAAATATGTTGGTTTGAATGGAAATATGTGAAGGAGGCTTGTTTCAATAAGAATTTTATTGTTCACAATTTTGCTACTAATTAAAATTTTCACAGCATTATTACTTTTAATTCCCAATTTTTCATGAAACTGTTGATTTTCAGGGTGTTTTGAATAAGTTTTTATAGAGAAACTATTCAAGGTCTATGTGTTTGACTATTTTAAAGAAGTCAGAATTTCTAAGAATCCCCCTCTCTAAAAAAAGGAGTTATCTACATTTATTCTTTGGAACAAAATGAAACAAATAAAACTTTCTAGAAAAACTTTTATCAACAGAAAAAGTGTACATCTTCCAGCCAGAGTCATTTCTGTAAGAGGTACTCAAATTTTTATTCCACATCGCGGACATGAACTCAAAGGTAGGAAAGTAAGAAGGCTGAATCCTTCCAAAAAAATGATAGATTTTTGGGTTTATTTCCCTTTGATACATTGAAAAAATAAAATAGAGGTTGCACCGAATATGTTTATTTTAAATAGCACTAATAACGTATTTAATATCAATAAGTTCATACTTACTTCATGAAATATTCGGGTGTCAATAATTCGAACTAACAAATTGTCAACTCGAAGGAAGTACCTCATCAAAATAAAGAAGCAATCAGGCATGATTCGCTGCAAGAAAAAATAAAAAAGTTATGCAGCTAATAAATATATAGAAACAACATACTTAATATAAATTTTTAAAAAAAATTAATTATTGCTGATTCTAAATAAGTTGTTAAATGCTGATCCATAAAATTCAAATGTCGGTCTAAATAAATTGCATTCATATCCTAGTTCAAATAATTAATTATTTGCAGAAATTTACTAAACCTTTTTCTTTATCATAAAAGTACTCTTTGTTTTATAGGAAAAAGACAACTAACATTTCATTTTCTTTGATATCGCACCTCTATTTCCTTGTATCCTAATTGCTAATTAATTGCATAAAGGTGTTTTTATTTTCTAATGTATATAGGGATGAATAGAGAAAATAAACTTTTTATGCTCATAATACAGCCTAAAATCGTGAGCATTTTTTATCATCTCTTCTGCAATAGATTTGCAGCTTGGGTCCCTTTTGCTTCCTAGAAAAATTAATTTGCAAAGTTTTATGGCTTTTATTTCATTTTCTTAATGACGGGTCTGGCTACAATAGCCCTTTAGATAAATGCAGGAACTCATAATGGTATTTGAAGCAGTTACTTGATGTGCAACAGTTTGCTTGGAAGTAAAGGCAGCTGGTGTGCAATGCTGATCACATTGCAACCACAATGCCATTAGTTTCAAAATTGTGCAGTCGTAACCTCTATGACCCTTTAGCCACGATATTGTCTAAATGCTTTTAACTTGGACATTTCAATGAATTTTCTAAATGTTTGAAAAATAATTACAAAGATATAAATGAATAATAATTACGATTTTGACAGAGCAATGAGCTGTTCCATTATCAGCGAGTTCATCCTCAAATAGCATTACATCTTCATAAAACAGTATTTTTTCCTTGACTTTTAATTTTTCAATATTAATACGTTCATCTGTTGGTGTAACCTGTAAAGAAATAATATAATTTACAAAGGTATTTTTTTACGACATAACAAATATGTAAACAAGAGTCTAATATTAGTAGCTTCAATGTCAGTTGAACTAAATATTAAACAAGAATAAAAGAAGGAGGAATTTTTAAATGTATCAATATAATAGTTTACATGTAAATGTATCAATTAAGCTTTTTTCCAACTGCGCTCAAACGTTTCGCCTAGTGTGTCTTATTAAGAAATAAATTTACAGGCATACAATAATATATATGTAAGCAAGTAACATATAATGGAACTTAAAACATTTATTATATGCTATAACTGTTAAAAATAAAAAAAAGGTAAGCTAAATGCAAGTTGACATTTTATACAGGAATTCATCAAACACTCACTTTTAGCCGAACATCTGACTACCTGAATTATAATTATTTAGTAGAGGACCATTTTTTTTTTTAA